TTTTCTATTTCTAGTATAAAATTTTGAATTTTGACAGAAGTTAATAAAAATATTTTTATGACAATAAAAAAATAAATTTAAAATAAATTTAAAACATAGTAACAAGCTACTTTTTGAAAGAATTTGACAATCAGAAATACATACAAAATATAGAAAAAATTGTACATTTTCAGTTCAGTTCACTTCTTCAGCTAAAAAAGTTTTAAGTTTACGTCCAAAAATGCTAAAGATATATGCGCCTGCTCCTCGTATACTAAAAAGCCTGATTGCTATAACTGAAAAAGGTAGTGGAGAAGCAAACGAGGATCAAACTCAAAATGTACAAACAACTGTTAGCACCCGCATACATGTTGATGACAATAATACTATAATTAAAGTACGTCTTTTGCTGATTACCGTTCAAAACTACCCTTTCGATGGTTGGATCTATAGGACTGCTGAAAGGCGTCATGTCGTACTGCTTGCTAACTACTAACTACTAACTACTGAATGTGGAAGTCAGTCTCTTCTTCACAACCAAAATGTTATTAACGGAAAGAAGGGAGATTTTACAGACATCATCCAGATTTATCAAGGTAGACTTATACTCAAATACGGTAGTAAAAAGAGACTGTAAATTTTTTAATTCTATAGATTTACAATTTTAAAGCTGTGATGGTGTTTTGTAGCAGCCCAGACGAAAAGAAGAGGAGATGGCAATAACATTATTACATATACGTGTATATGTAAATTAAATAAAAACTTAATTTTTTAATTTAATTCAAACTAATTAACAACAACAAAACCTATAAAATAACAATTGATATTAGAGACACATACGAATATTGGTTGTAATAAGCAGACAGAAATATTATCATTATTAAATTAAATCTTCTGGGAAGTAATTTCGAAATCGAATAACATTTGACTGATGTTGTTAATCTGATACCATGGGGAGCAGGACTCACTGCTTCGACTGCCATGACCAATTGAGGTTGGCTCCTTTAATTGTAGTATTGTGCTGGTTTTAGTTAAAACCTAAATTAAGTGAAAAGAAGTACTATATTGATCATTTTCATACAATGTGAATTTAGATTTTGCAAACGAGTACTGTGACTTTAAGAACAACAGAGGTATGAGATGGACTTCGATCCTCCTAAGGAAACAACTTTGTTCGAATATATTGAGTAACAATTAGTGCTAGGGGAATTTTTTAGTATTTCAATGTGGGCACTTATTGTTGAACTATTTTAATATGTGTGTTAAGACCACCGTGGTGTTTAACCTTAACGGCATTTAATCACTATGGACTCTGTCTAGAAGTATCGGTTCTTTCACTATCTCATGACCAAAATTTGTCAAATAGATTAACTACTAGAGCTTCGTGTTAACAACAGTCTCCCGACGTAATACCCAACATTGTATTATGTTTTTACGATCTGTTTTTCTTTTCTGAATTTATATTAAATGAAAGGAATGTATTAATTACTCTGCAAATAGCGCAGACTACAAATAGGCGGTAGAGTGAAATGATGTTCTTGTGAAGAACCTGATATGTGTGAAAAGTACAATTCATATGTGAAGAGTACCTCCTTAACTCTTCAACTATTTAGCTAAGTATTTATATTATTAATTTTAGAGATATAAAACTTAATGAGAAAATTAATTTCAAAGATCCACCAACACCAAGAACTTGTCTCCTACTTGATGATGAGGTCCGACAACACCTTTACACTCTCTAAATAAAATCAATTACTACTCTTTCTAAATAAAATACAAAAATAAATTATATCAAAATCAAAATACAATAATCCCGACTACAACGCGGTAGATTAGTTCCGCGTTATAGGGAAACGCGTTATATGGATATTCCCGTATACCCCGTATACCCCGTAAACACACCTGCAAAGGTATGCGAAGCTAATTATGAACTGTACAAATCCCCGCATTATATGGAAGAATGCCCATGTTATACGGGGGATTAAAATCGCGTAGTATGAAAACGCGTTATGAGGGTACCGCGTTATAGGGGAGATTACTGTAATTGTGTCTATTATTATTATATTTAAAAATTATTCAAAATATTTAAAAAGAAATCAGAATATATGACTATATAGTGATATTCATAGAAACATAGTAAAAACGAACATAAAAAATAACATTAAATGTTTTGACTATTATTTTCTAAATACATTTTGTATCTTACAAAAAAATACTTGTATATATATATTTATCTAAATATATTAGTATATAACTACTAGCAATAAACTTTGAAACATCTAATAAAAATGCATACAAAACATAAAACTTATATGAAAAATAAATAAAAAAAAATTTAAATGCATTTTTTTGCATAGAAAAGAACATTGCAAGGAAATACAAAGGTTGACATAAATAGTAAATGTGTGTGCGTGTGTGTGTATATATATGCGCTTGTGTGTTGTTATTGCTATTCTTTCTGTTCTTCTTGTTGTATTTGTTGCAAATTTGTTATTGTTTTTATATTGCAAAATTAGCATTCAATTTTACTTCCTTGTCTGGGAGCAAAAAATATACACAACTAAAGACAAAAACAACAACAACAACAGCAAAGAACATACAAAACATGTTAAATGCTTGCTTTTGTTGTTGTAATTGTTGTCGTTGTTATTATTATTGTTGTTATTGTTTTGTAGTTTGGTTAGAGAAAGAAGAAGCAACACAACACACTTGATGACGAATTACTAATGCATTTCGCTTAGCTCTACTAAGGTGGCGGCGGTTCATTCATTCATTCATTATTCATGTAAATAATGCATATTTCCATATCCGCAGATGAGAAAATTGTCAACAAATTTTATTTTATTTTATTTTGATTTTTTTTTGTCGTAATTTTATTAATAAATTAATATAATAATTAATCATAATTTATAATAATTAATTATAATTAATGAATAATAAATATTTTATTATATCATCCTTTAAAGAATTAATTTTAAAGGGATATCTAAAAAATCCTTCTTTTTTTAATATTTTTTAAATCATGTTGTGACAAAAAGTTAATTTTTAAAAAATACAGTCAAACTTCGATAACTCGAACTTCTATAACTCAAATTTTCTATAACTCAAACTAAAAAGAGTGCAACAGGGCTTTAAAAAGCATATTATATACAATTTTGCTTCCATACCTCGAACTTGTATAACTCGAATTTCTCTATAAATCGAATAAAAATATTGTCACGTGCCAATAGGAATGTGGGAAAGTGCATTCTATAAGTCGAATTTTTATTTCAAGTATGAGTTCATTTTGGTGTTAAGGGAAGTCCCTTTTTCCAAATCAAATGT